TATTGGGTATGAGATCACATACATTAGGTTTGAGGTCACAGACATTGCGTATGTTTTTTGAACCGATTGGTGTTCCGCCTCGACACGTGTTGGTCTCACAGTCGTTCTGTATTCTTGTAGACTAGAACGCCTGATTTGATTTAAACATATAAGGCACACGTTATCTGAACTTAGAAACGCCTCCAATACATTTCATTATAAAACTTATATGACAACAACAGCACAAATTTTGATCAAAAACATCTATATGAACAAAGAGGAAAAGAAGGGAAAGGAAGAAAGAAAGAGAAACTGAGAAGAATAAGAAGAATAAGAAAGAGAGACGATACGATAACAGCTTTTAATTTGTAAATATACTAATGACCTTAAAATCTTTTAGAATATTTAATGTAGGTTTGAACTACATAGGAAATAGTTTCATTGTCTTCATCGGACAGGTTTGTAAAACCGTAAAGAACAACTTTGAGAGAAATATTACAATTACATGAGATATCATCAATCAGAGCTTGTTTTGTTTTGTATACAGCATACAATAAAAAAATTGTACTGCATTTTCACACTCATTTCCATGTACATACGTTGGATCCCTTATAATATTATACAAATCATACTTTAAACTTCTACATGAATGACACAATCTTGTATTAAAATATTCGTTTTACGATTTCCAACATGGAAAAAATNTTGTATACAGCATACAATAAAAAAATTGTACTGCATTTTCACACTCATTTCCATGTACATACGTTGGATCCCTTATAATATTATACAAATCATACTTTAAACTTCTACATGAATGACACAATCTTGTATTAAAATATTCGTTTTACGATTTCCAACATGGAAAAAATAGGCAACAAGTAACTTTGGTTACGCTTAATCAATGATTTAAAACTATTAACGGATGGCTGTTCTCTGACAGTATTTGGTAAATCGTTCCATGGCCTTATAGAAGAAGGGATAAAAGATTGGAAAGAACTAGACAGTCGAAAATTGGGAACAGTGTAGTTTTCAGTATTTCTCACGTTGTAGCTATTGCGTTCGTATACTATAGGAGGAAGAAGGTTACTTAAATGAGAAGGTGTTAGTTTATTGTGGAGTTTGTAGGGAAAGTTTCTAAAGTTTTCTTCACTCAGATACAGGTTCAAGTTGGGATTATTGATACAATGATTGTTTACTAGAAAAAAGGGCAGGCCAGTGATAATTCTTGCTGCTTCAAGCTTTTCTGTGGGTTAAATTTAGTAAGCCAATCCCGTGACCATTTATCAAGTTTTTCGTAAATCTCCGTTTCAATATCAGCATAAGAAGACGAAAAATATTTAAGGAATGACCAAGATTTTGTTTTGGTATATACGGTATATACCGAAACATTTTTGTGCACTATGCAAAAAAGTGCACAATTTATTTTCGGTATATACCGTATATACCAAAACAAAATCTTGGACATTCTTTATAATTTAATTTAAAACAAAAGTAGCCAAACATACAAACACGTTGTAAATGCACAGTTAAAGATTTATTTAATTTTTACATAAACTAAACAATTGCGCTAAAAAAAAGCTGCGTTGTAATTTTGCATTCTGAAGTGTAAAAAGTAGTTCCGTCATCAGTTGTTTTTCTTTTTAGGTATATACGATATATACCAAAAACAATATTATGGGGGAGATAGGCAAAATTAAATTATATCTTGTGAAGAGGTATCACGACGGGAACGCGGGTAATGTTATTGTGGATAGATTTGACACGGGTTAGACCAGTGTGTTTATAGAAATAGACAAAAACGAGAACGAAATGTGTACTTTATCATGATCATTGTGTTGATAAGTACAATCATATCAGTCCAGAAATGGTCTATACGTGTCACATGTATGATCAGAGCAAATAACAGTATGGTCAAAACAAATAAGAGTATAGTAAATACTCATAAAATTATGGTTCATACCCATTAGATTATAACCTATGTATACATGTAAGATTATGGTCGATACATGTGGCAGTATGGTCGATACATGTAAGATTAAGGTCGATACTTGTGAGATTATGAAAAAAAATGTATATTCAAATGTAAATGGTATACTGTAGCCTACCTATAATCCAACACAATTTCAGGTTAACATATCGGTAAGAACATAACGTGAAATATTTCGGCAATAACAAAATGTTGTTTGCGTATCTCCACCTATGTCAGCACCGTCCATGTGTTTCGACTAAAGTCTATTTACATGCCATGGGACCGGTTTTCAGTCATGTAAGCTTAAATAATGGTACGTTTTAAATCAGCGAGGATGAATTGAATAAGAATGGCGGAGCCAAAAATAAAATAAAATAATATCAACACAAAAAAAGAATTAATCGGGAAAACCCAGCATAATATTAGTAGATTTACAACATAAAAACAATGTCATGGCCCGTCGGCTGTGTAGTAATAATACGTACACAAAGCGGAATAACTCGTGTTAACGATTAAGTCTGCTGCCGGTCCAAAACAAGAAAGAAAATAAAACGATTTATTTTTACTTTATCATCGATAACGTTATGGACAGTGGTTTGTTTTGCCGGGAAAATGCGTTATCGGTGACGTCACAAAGGATTACGTCATAAGTTATTGCGTCATCGGCAACAGTCGGTTTGTTTTCATTTTGATAGGCTTGGTTGCTGTTTATTACGTCGCAGTTACCACTTCCTTTTCTTTTGTTTTGTTAATTCAAAATGGCTTCTTTGGATGAGTTGTGGGGTAAATTGAAAGCGGCAACGGATTCAAAATCACTGCTCAAGAAAAACTTGACTGAGGAGATCTACAATGAGCTGAAAGACAAAAAGACAGGTTGTGGTGGTACACTTGCAGAATGCATTAGATCAGGTTGGTAGCAATTGTTCATAAATTGTGTTTAAGTATGCATATCAGCATATATTGATATCTAACTGTAGTACAAGCGTATTATGTATGTGGGTACCTCGAAATACTGTCATTCAACAGGGCAGATCCATATAAATGTCTGGAGCAGAAACCGGAATTAGGCCTACTGTAGTGTGTTGATGGGCAACTGGTTCCAGGGGCGAAGCGCCGATGAGAGGTATCGGGGACTTTGCCTACCACAGCCTCCGTTTCCTTCTAAGTTCTTCTCACCTTCCCACCTCAAAATATTTCCGTTTCAGTTCGATATATCTTTCGGCTTCACTCCCCCCTCTCCCCTTCGAACCCTATCCCGGCATTAATCCCCAGTTTCACTTTCCCTCCCAATTCTTCCTCAATATATATAAACAAATGGTTGCGAGGTCATAATTTTCAATTTGTATAAAGACACGAGGTTTACCGAGTGTATTTTACAATTTGAAAATTAACTAACGAGAGATAGGATGATAACCTATCATCACAAGTTTGGGGTCCTTTTTTCTCCCATAACGTTCATATTTTATCTAAAAAGCATATCAGTGTTTCCCTTGAAAATACACTATGTCTTCCATTGGGGGAAACAATTGCTGTGAATATTGCATCAATCTTATGCTCAGCCATAATACAGTGTCATTTTGATTACTCTTGCTACTCTGGTTTAACTAAAAAACTAAAACAAAGACTGCAGGTTTCACAAAATAAAGTTATTAGATTTATTCTTATATCAGATTCCAGGTCCAGAATTGGTTACGATGAATTCTCTAGTCTAAATATGCTTAATGTTAGTAACAGAATAAAACAACTCAGAGTAAACCATGTTTTAAATATTTCTAAATTATATACAAATGCCCCTCCTATTTTAAAACTGACTTCGAAAGGCTAACAGAACTGCAGCAACACTATATACAAGATCGAGTGAACACAATTTTTATATTCCAACTGTGAGTGGGACAGAATCTACCACGTTTTATTACAATGCTACTAAAGATTGGAATTCTTTGCCAGAAAGTATCATGAAGATCAAGAGTAAATCATCATTCAACGTTGCGATCCCCAAACAGTAGTACTCGAGGGCAAACAATCAGACAAAATACAAGTAACCTCTGGGGTCCCTCAAGGAAACTGTTTGGGCCCCATCCTCTTCCTCATCTACATCAATGACTTCCACGAATACATGAAATACAGCACACTTAGACTGTTTGCAGACGACATCATCATACATACAAGACGATAAGCAACATAGAAGACACACTAAAACTACAACATGACCTTGACGCAGCAGATCAATGAGAGACGGACTGGTTAATGAAATTTCACCCTGACAAATGCAACATACTCAACATTGCACCGAAACGCAACAAAATACACCATGACTACAAACTCCACAACCACACATTACACCAGGTAGAATCAAGCAAATACTTAGGATTAACATTACAAAATAACCTACGATGGGACAAACATATTAACAACATCACAGCCAATGCCAATAGGTCCTTAGGTTTTCTAAAACGCAACTTAAAAATAAACTCACCACATATAGAAGAACATGCATACAAAGCACTAGTCAGGCCAAAACTTGAATACTGCTCTTCCATTTGGGATCCACACAACACAAACCAAATTAAACAAATAGAAAAAAAACAGACCCGTCAGCATTCTCCCGGCATTTTCCAAGATTTTTGAGAGATCCATACATTCCCAACTCAGTGACTTCTTTGATGACGTTTTTCACCCTTATCTCTCTGCATTTAGAGCAGGATATGGGTGTCAAACGGCATTACTGAGAGTCATCGAGGACTGGAAGATGGCACTAGACCAAAATCAGTATGTAGCCTGCATACTGATGGATCTCTCAAAGGCCTTTGACTGTTTGCCCCACAACCTTCTTCTTCTCAAACTCCAAAATTATGGTTTAGATCAGTCGGCAACAAATTTACTTTCGGACTATTTAAGTAATAGAAAACAATGCGTCAAACTTGGCAAAACCACTAGCACATTTCAAAATTTATACAAGGGGTACCCCAAGGATCAATTTTAGGCCCTATTCTTTTCAACATTTTTATCAACGACATATTCCATTTCATAGAACATAGCAACCTGTACAACTATGCCGACGACAACACACTCAGCAAAGCACACTCCTCACTAGACATAGTCAAATCTTCACTACAGACAGACAGCGACGCACTAATACACTGGTTCGCAGACAACCACATGCAGGCAAATCCAGACAAATTCCAGGCAATGGCTATAGGCAAAAAAACACAACAAGAAAATATCACATTTAGTTTAGGACAGAACAATTTGATTAACTGCGAACCAGAAGTGAAATTGCTAGGTGTCACCATAGATTTCCAACTAAACTTTCATACACACATCTCAAACACTTGTAAAAAAGCATCTAGACAATTAAACGTATTAAAACGAATAGGCAGACACTTAAACAGACTAGGCAAACTCACTATATATCACTCATTCATCCTCTCAAACTTTAACTTCTGTCCCCTCACATGGCATTTCTGTGGCGAAACAAACACAAAAAAAATGGAAAAAATACAGGAAAGGGCACTCAGATTCATATACGACGACCACACATGTACATACGAAGTTTTATTGGCCCGCTCAAAATTACCATCCCTCAAAATTAGACGCCTCAGAAATTTTGCAATCGAAGTATACAAAATTACAAACAAACAAACACCCACATACCTGCATGACCTCATCAGTACCACACAAAAGCCATACTCCTTTAGATACCACAACACAGCAGACATACCACAAGTAAGAACAACCAAATTTGGCAAACACTCTTTTCGATCTGAAGCACCAAAAATATGGAATTCTCTGCCAGACCACTTTCGAACAGCAACAACACTTTCGCAATTCAAAACACTTATAAACAGCTGGTACGGACCACAATGTAAATGTGTCACATGCAAACAACCTACATAATATACCACACAACAACATAGCATCACTTATTACTCTCATACAAGTACACAAGGTTTTTAAATATGCTTTTACACCCCATGTTTTTAGACTGATATCTGCTATTTTAAACAGCTACTTGTGTACATGTGCTTTTAACAAATGATAGTGCTAACCTAGTTGAAAATGAAATGTGATGTATGAGTAAAGTATTAACTTTGTAACTGTTTTATTATGCAATGTGTATGTCCTGTATGTTAGTCGGTTTTAATAGCTCCTTAGAGCTAATGTTGTATTGTTATACCATGTACCGACTCTAAATAAAACTTTTGACTTGACTTTGACTTTGACAACGAAGAGCAGCACGCTACGTACAAAACAGATACCACAACACTAGTTCCGTGACAGATTTGATCCACACACTACAATGGCCAACACTACAAACACGGCGCAGCTACATAAGAATTATCCTTTTTTACAAAATCATACACAAAATCGTAGCTTTAAACCATACTCACACCCGTAGACCCTCACGCATACAAACACATATCTGCTACAAAGGACACCTACAAATCTCCTTCCCATAGCAGCAGTACAATGCACAACACTAGAGGACTTCAAGGCACACTTACTCTACACAGCTCTTGAACCCCTCATCACACGCTAAACATACGCCAGATTTTATCTTTTTATCTATACCTTGCACAAAAAACCCTAATCACTAAATAATTCCCTTTTTCACGCCTCTGCAACAGGACCCCCCGAGGGCATAAACATCAAATTGATTTTTTTTACACTTTGCTACATTAGCATATGTACATTACACTACATAGTGTCTTAACTTGTCTTTCGTAACATTTGTGTGACATTCAAGTCATAAAATTATACAGTAGAGCATATGATATCACACTTCAAGTGTAGTGTGATATCATATGCTCTACTGTATAATTTTAGCATATCTAATTTGAATTGTTGTCCTGTTTTTATATTTATTCATAAGTACTGTGATCCTTGTTAAATTTTACATATGTTTTGTCGCAAGAATAGCACTACAGTGCTAACGTTATTATGTTAAATGTATATGCGACGTTAAATAAAGCTTCTTGAATCTTGAATCTTGAAATGTCAATGTTTTGATTACGTTTTTAAAAAATGGCGCGTGCGACGACTATACACTCTGTTTTGGACTATAGGAATAAATTCACACTATAGAATTACTGTTTGTCATATAAATTCTAAAGGTCATCATAAAATATTGACAAAAAAATATTAATTTGAAGCGTACGATACTGCAAAATTTAAGCCTTGATCCGTTTTGGGTCCCGACATTCGCAAAAACCGGAGACGCTGATTGGTGACTTCAGAGCGTTCTTTAAATATCTCAAGTGAGCCCCGGGTGCTAATTTCATTTGTAAGAAAGAACACCCATTGTTATTCTTTTTTTGATATAACCGTAAATGAATATAATTCCTCCTTAGATTTTCCAATGATTTAAAAAATGATGGTTTGGTGATCCGATTTGGTTACTGTCACCTTAAAGTAATTTATAAGTAGTGTTTATGTGTCTTTTAATGGACCCCAGTGGAAATAAGCTTCAGGGCTTTCTGGGTAAACCTGGTTTTAAGGGCAACATATATTTTAGCTATTTTATTTTTCGTATGAATAACCGTTACCTAAGGTGACATTACCCAAATCGGATTTTTGCAAAAAGTGATCCGATTTGGGTACCGATCCGATTTGGGTACTGCCGCCTAAACGTCACGCTACCACAATTGGTACAATTTTGACAGTTTTTTAATGTTCTTTAAAAATTCAGATCTTGTATCTGGAATGTTTCTTGATTCTTGACAAAGATTACCTATGGTGGTTCATTTTCAGGAACAGTTTTATATCTAAGTGTCTTATTTCTACAAGTTGATGTGCCGATTACAACAAAATATATTGCTTTTATAGATACCTGAACTATAATTGTATATGTTCGCTTCTATATTATCCGGTTATAAGGACCAGAAATCAGCATTTAAACATGCTTATAT